AGCTTCATGGCATAGTGGCTAAGTTCTGGCCAGTGATCCATTCTCAAGACCCAGTAAGCCAGTGGATTGTCTGCTGGAAAGCTCTCCAGGTCTGCTCTTGCCCCTAGGTAATCCTGCACCATATGAGGCAGACGCTGCCGATGGGTGCCTAAAGTTAGTATCCCTGGGCGCTGAGGACTGAAAAAATGTCTGAAGGCATCAGTCAGGCGGCCCCCTTTTCCACCGCTCTTCCTTTGACCAACTGAAGCCTCAGAAGCACCTCTTTCATGACTTGGTATCCTACCAGTGTCTGGAAAGGTGTTACACAAGTTTATCTTCAAAGCATCCTCAAGTTGTTTCATCCTGTGCTCCCTCTGTGAGGGCAGGATGAGCTCGTCAACTTTGTAACATGTAACGTGGATCAAGAAGGGTTGCCAACCAGTAACGATCCTTCTCCTTGATACCACGAATCCTGGGGTCGTTTCTCAGGCTTTGCAGGATAAGGGAGCCCATGCACCGTAAGTTTGCGGGGGCTTGAGATTCCAAGTCTTCAGGGTCACTGAGGATGATGCGATCGTGCACTGCCTCCTCCCAGCCACGTACTACTCCTTTGGTTTCTGCGGACACAAAACCCTCCCTTGAAGACTGCCATATGTCATCCTCTGCTTCAATGCCCCCACGGCTGCCATAATCCTCCACCTATTGTGTGGTCTGCAGACCCGCAGGAATGGTTTCTGCGTAAAGGGGGCCTTGAGAGGTAAGGAAGTTCTCCTCTTACTCCCGCTGTTCTGCCTCAAGTGCCCGATCGATAGTTCCCCGCAGAGTATGCTCCAGCAGGAACACAAGAGGGATAGTGTCACTGATGCATGCATTGTCACGGCTCACCATCCTCGTCGCCTCCTCAAATGGTGACAGTACAGTGCATGCATCCTTTATCAGCAGCCACTGACGTGTGGAAAAAAAGCCAAGGTCCCCTGAGTCTGGCCTTGTGCCATACTCACAGAGGTACTCGTTGATGAGCCTCTGCTGCTTTAGTCAGCATTGCCAAAATCGAGTTCCACATGGTGGGCATGTCACAAATCAGACGGATTGTAGGCAGGTGGAATCCATGTTGAATTTCAGCCAGACGAACACTGGCTGTGAATGAGCGCCTGAAATGGCTGCAGACTTCTCTGGTCTGCCTCAGGAGATCTTGCAGCCCTGGGCACCTGGTTAAGAAATGCTGTACCACCAAATTGAGGATGTGTGCCAAGCATGGTACATGCATCAACTTTCCCAGACGTGGGGCGGAGAGAAGGTTGCTGCCATTATCGCAAACAACCATTCATGGCTCAAGCTGCCATGGTGTTAACCACCTCTGGGCCTGTCCCTGCAGAGTTTACAGAATCTCTGCCCCGGTGTGGCTCCTGTCCCCTAGACAAACCAGCTCAAGCACTGCATGGCATCTTTTTGCCTGACCCATTGTGTAGCCCCTTGAACGCTTACAGTGAACTGCTGGTTAACCGGACAATTCAGCAGAAGAGGCCATCGTGGTGGCTGAACAAGCTCAAGCATGTAGCCCCATCCTGGATCCCTCTCAGCTGCAAGCAGAGTTACCCAGTGTGCCGTGAAGGAAATGTAACTTCCCTGACCATGCTCGCTATACCACGTGTCAGCGACAATGTGGGCCTTGCTCCTGACTGCCTTGTGCAACAAGGCCAAAACATTTTGCCTTCAACATGCTGGTTCAGAGCTGGAATGGCCTTATGTCAAAATAAATGGTGTTTGGGAACTTTCCACTGTGGCACACTGTGTGCACATTCAGCAAACTCATGGAAGGGGGCAGAGTACACCAGATGGAAAGGCAGCAGTTGTAAGCTGGCATTTAGACGCTGAGCATGTGGATAGGTGGGACAGTATTTTTTTTTGCTGCGGCAGCTGGGGCAGCAAAATTTGACTGCTAAAATCTACAGCTGGTGGACTGTTGGCAGATTTGGCAGAAGGACGTGTGACACCCATTGCTATACCATCATCCCTGCCAGTGGAGGTTGTTGACATGGCATGATGTATAGTAGGGGTAGAGATGACTGATGAGGAGCGAGGAGAAGTGTGGCCCTTTCTATGGTGCTGTTGCCAACGGGATGTCTGGCAGGTGGTCAGATGTCTCTTCAAGCACGTGGTACCCAATTGGTTGATGTTTTTGCCACACTTGATCTGCTTGAGACACAGGTTGCAAATAGCAATGTTGCAGTCTGTGGCACATGTGCTGAAAAACTCCCACGCAGCTGAGTTCCTGGAAGTGTGCTGCGAGACAACAGCGCCCTGCACCAGTGCAGCTCTGCCTTCTGATGAATGGGGTGGCAGCTCATATGGCTGCCCCTGGAGGACATCCTGCCTCGTTGGGGTTGTGCCTCCTCCTCACTTCCCTCCTCTGTTCGATCAGGCACCCAAGTAGAGTCAGTGACCTCATCATCCCCTCTGTTCTCATCGCTGGAACCAACCTGGCAGTATGCTGCGGCTGGGGGAACATGAGTGCCAGTTTGTTGTCCATCATTGGCACCCTCTCCCTCTAGACTCATGTTACTCTCTTCCTCAACCTCAGAGCCAATATCAGACCACTGTAATTGCTGCGCATCCTCCAACAGCATGCCACTGATGGTGTGTTCAAACAATTCAGCTGACTCCTCCGTGCATGAAGGTGGGGGTAGGAGTAGCTGTGGACAAGGAGGCAGAATAGGCTACTTTGGCCGCTGCGATGGCCTGGGAACCAGTATGAGCTTGGGTGACTGAGGATGAGGAAGCCTTAGTTATCCAATCCACCACCTCTTCTGTATGTTGTGGCTGAATAACATGGCCAGCACCAGATAAAAGGACAAGCATGCCCTGCCTGCAGAGGATGCACCACGTCCACAACTTTGGCCTGCGAACACAGAGGCTGCTTGCCCTCTTATTGCTGCATGGGAGCGTCTGCCTCTCCTTGTTAGCCTTCCCGACATGATGCTTATTGCAATAATCGACTGTTATAATCGACTACTATAATAGACCAGTATGACTAACTGCTATAGTATAGAACGCTGATATAGAACGCTGTATAGAACTCTGATAGAATACTCTCTTTTTAACTACTTAGGGCTGCGGTGTAAGCAGCCTTATATAGTGTGCTGCTGGGACTTAGCAGTGAGCCATGATTGGGCAAAGTCTTGCACCTGACCTGAGATCAGGTGCAAGCCTTTAGCCAATTAGGGCTTCACAAGGCGCCGAACAGCCTTATAGTTTGTGTGTTCGGCGAGCACACGAACTAGCAATGTTCGAGCGGAACTCATCAACCCAAACATCAAGCCCATCGGGTGGGCGTGGCTTGGCAATGGCCGGGAGCGGACGTGTTCTTTAGAGCTCCAGCGGCATTGCAGGGCCCAGGCACACGAACCAGCAGCCTGTAACCTCCTAACAGCACAGCGATGGGCGGCAATAAGAAGCGGAGGTCCGACTCACCCTCCCGCCAGGCTTCCTCGTCCAGGAGACGTGATATCGGGGCTTTTTCCCGAAAACGGGTGCCACAAGATCTGCACAGAGTGCAGCCAAAATGGCGGAGGTCCGGGAGCAGCACAGGCCGCCATCCCCTGCATCTCCATTGGAATCTCTCCTCTCCGTGCGCGCTAGCGAGGATATAGAGACCCCTGATCCTAGTGATGGTGAGGGAGACGACAGAGATATCCCCTCCGTAAGTACTTTGCTCTTTTGGACATTGAGCCTGTAAGAAGCCTACTTCGTTACGTCCCGGGATCACGATCCGTGACCGCGCATGCGCACAACGGGCTGTAGCGTCTCCTCGCGGCGCACACGCACGTCGACCCTCGGCTCCTCCTAGCGCAGGCGCACGAGGCTCCTTAAGGCGTGGCCAAACGAATCTTCAGCGTCCGAAGATTCACACTCTGCAACCTCATACCGCAGCGACCAGGGACCAGCACCTCGCAAACCCCACTTAGGGGGTAGCTCTAAGGAACGTCAGGAGGGATTTCTGCGATTGCCGCCCAGGACGGCTAGAGAGTGGACTGTTGTGCTCACCACCATCAGCCATAGGAGACATCCAGGAGTACTCTTCCCAATCTAATATGGATCCAGCGGAGATGGCAGGTCACATTTTGACCCTCACCCAGCGCATGGATGCACTTACGCAGCATGTGAAAGAATTAAAAGTGGAAAACCGGACCCTAAAGTCCCTTCTGGCTCAACCAAGAGAGAACAACCAAGGCCCTGAACCAAAAGTCAGCCCCCCTGACTTATTCTTTGGGGAGAGACGGCTGTACAGGGAGTTTACAAACGCATGCAAACTACTGTTTGACCTGAGACCCAAAACCTACCCCACTGATAGAGTAAAAGTACTTACTACCATTTCGTACCTCCGAGGGGAGCCCAGAGCATGGGCGACTACCTATGTGGAAAAGGAGGATCCCATCCTTAACTCCTATCCCCAATTCCTCGAAGCCATGAATCTACTCTATGAGGAGCCCACTAAACAGATCACCGCTGAATTGGAGATTCGGGGACTTAAACAAGGACGGAGACCTGTTGAGGACTTTATAGTTGAATTTAAGAGGTGGGCCAGAGAAACCGAATGGAACGATCTCAGTCTGAGGAACCAGTTCAGGATGGGCCTGTCAGACCCCCTCAAGGATGAGTTGGCCAGGTCTGATCTTCCACCCACTTTGGAAGCCCTAATGGGTAGAGCTATCACTATTGACAGACGTCTTCGAGAGCGGAGACTGAAGAAGGTGACCGGAATTGCAGCCACTCCCCGAAGACCACCCCAGGACTTAGGAGAAGAACCAATGGAGATAGGGACCATCAGGGGACCATTGACCCAAACCGAGAAGGATAGGAGACGGACCATAAGGCTGTGCTTATACTGTGCATCTCCAGACCATACCGTAGATGACTGTCCTTCTATAAGGAAAAAGTCCGGAGGTAAGACAAAACCATCTCCACCTGCATTTAATTTTCCTCGCCCTCAACATTACTTATACCTCTCTCTTGTATTACAGTGGGAGCACCACAGGGTCCCTGTTGAGACCATGGTGGACACAGGAGCGAGCGGGAACTTTATTGATGCCCAACTCGTACACCTCAATAAAATCCCATCTTGTAAAAAGGCAAACCCTGTGTCTGTCAGTTTTGTCGACGGTTCTACCCTAACCTCAGGCCCAATTACCTATCAAACTCAACCCCTTCTGGTCAGTGGGCCTCATAACCATACTGAATACCTTACATTCGACGTGATCGCTTCCACAACGTTCCCCGTTATTCTCGGTCTTCCATGGCTGAGAACTCACAAACCCTCCATATGTTGGAAACTTAACAGTTTATGTTTAGATTCAGAGTATTGCAAACTTACCTGCTTCCCTTTCACACCTTCCGAAACCTCGATCCACGGTACCACTACGTGCTGGAGGTTGATGCCTCGCACGCAGCGATTGGGGCCGTACTCTCACAGAGGTCCTCCCTACTGACACCATTGCACCCAGTGGCTTTCTTTTCCCGCACCTTGAACACTGCAGAGGTTAACTACCCTATAGGCGAAAAGGAGTTGCTGGCAATAAAAGGGGCTCTGGAGAACTGGCGCCACCCCCTGGAGGGGACCAAACACCCCATCATGATTTACACCGACCATAGGAATCTCCAATATCTCCAGAGCAGCAAGTCTCTATCCTCACGTCAGGTGAGATGGAGCTTTTTCTTCAACAGATTCAATTTTGTGATAACATACCGGCCTGGTTCAAAGAATGGCAAGGCCGACTCCCTCTCTTGCATCCAAGAATCAGAGAGATCAGAAGGAAGGCCTACCCAAATCATCCCTCCAGAGAAGCTGCTCGTGACAACCCTCAACCTGAAGAGACAGGGGCAGAAGGAGATGAGCAATGTAGAACCACCAGCAGATTCCTCTTTCAGGAAGGACGCCGACGGACTTCTATACAAAGACTCCAAGTTGTTCATTCCTCCTTCACTATACGCAACTATATTGAAGATGTTTCATGACGCTCCTTTAGCCGGACATCCCGGGATTTCCAAGACCTTGACGTTAGTAAAGAGACATTTCTGGTGGCCGGGAATGCACCGGACTGTAAAGGAGTACGTTGCTTCCTGTGCGATCTGTGCAACAAGCAAGCCTGAAAGACAGAGACCCTATGGACTGCTAATGTGTCTCCCCATACCAACCAGGCCATGGGAGACAATATCAATGGACTTTATAGTGGAGTTACCACTCTCATCAGAGCACAACACCATAATGGTAGTAGTGGATCTACTCACTAAAATGGCGCACTTTGTTCCTGTGAAGAAACTTCCATTCTCCGTTGAGACTGTTAACTGCCCCAATTCTCAAGATTCCAGATCCACGGTACCACTACGTGCTGGAGGTGGATGCCTCGCACGCAGCGATTGGGGCCATACTCTCACAGAGATCCTCCCTACTGACACCTTTGCACCCAGTGGCTTTCTTTTCCCGCACCTTGAACACCGCAGAGGTTAACTACCCTATAGGAGAAAAGGAGCTGTTGGCAATAAAGGGGGCCCTGGAGAACTGGCGCCACCTTCTGGAGGGGACCGAACACCCCATCATGATCTATACCGACCATAGGAATCTCCAATATCTCCAGAGCAGCAAGTCCCTATCCTCACGTCAGGTGAGATGGAGCTTTTTCTTCAACAGGTTCAATTTTGTGATAACATACCGGCCTGGTTCAAAAAATGGCAAGGCCGACTCCCTCTCTCGCATCCAAGAATCGGAGAGATCAGAAGGAATGCCTACCCAAATCATCCCTCCAGAGAAGCTGCTCTTGTCAACCCTCAACCTGAAGAGACAGGTACAAGAGGAGATGAGCCATGTAGAACCACCAGCAGATTCCCCTCTCAGGAAGGACGCCGACGGACTTCTATACAAAGACTCCAAGTTGTTCATTCCTCCTTCGCTATACGCGACTATATTGAAGATGTTTCATGACGCTCCTTTAGCCGGACATCCCGGGATTTCCAAGACCTTGACGTTAGTAAAGAGACATTTCTGGTGGCCGGGAATGCACCGGACTGTAAAGGAGTACGTTGCTTCCTGTGCGATCTGTGCAACAAGCAAGCCTGAAAGACAGAGACCCTATGGACTGCTAATGTGTCTCCCCATACCAACCAGGCCATGGGAGACAATATCAATGGACTTTATAGTGGAGTTACCACTCTCATCAGAGCACAACACCATAATGGTAGTAGTGGATCTACTCACTAAAATGGCGCACTTTGTTCCTGTGAAGAAACTTCCATTCTCCGTTGAGACTGCTGATGCCTTCACAAGGAACATAGTAAAACTACATGGACTGCCAGCAAGGATAATATCAGACAGGGGTGTGCAATTCGTGTCCCATTTCTGGAGGGCACTATGCCTCAAACTCGGGATAGACCACAGAATGTCCAGTGGGTATCATCCTCAAACAAACGGTCAGACTGAGAGAACAAACCAGTGCCTAGAACAATACTTGCGTTGTTATTGCACCCACCTCCAGGATGACTGGAGTGACCTGCTTCCGCTGGCAGAATTCTGTTACAACAATACCACCAGTTCCTCCACAAAACATTCGCCTTTCTACTCCAACTACGGGTTCCACCCTTCGACTCTCCCTCCTGGCGCTGTGCCCACCAACGTCCCAGCTGTAGAGGACTACGTGACTACACTCCAAGGGTTGGCAGAGACCCTCTGGCGAAACATCGAAGATGCCCAAGCAGGCCAGAAGAAGTATTACGATCTTCGTCGGAGGTCTCCACCCCGTTACCAGGTCGGGGACAAGGTGTGGTTATCCACCAAAAACCTCAGAGTGAGGATTCCTTCCAGGAAACTGGGCAGATTATTTATAGGCCCTTACCCAGTGGAGAAAGTCATTAACGAGAACACAGTTCGCCTCACCCTTCCTCGCGGGTTGAAGGTGCACCCCGCCTTCCATGTGTCCTTACTCAACCCCTACCAACCAGGTCGCTTCCCGGATAGGCTGCCCTCTCCTGCTCCTCCCATCCTGGTGGAGGGTGAGGAAGAATACAAGATAGAAAGGGTTCTGGACTCCCGAAGATACCGACACCAGCTTCAGTACCTCGTCAGATGGAAGAACTACGGACCCAACGCAGATTCATGGGAAGATGAGGGGGATGTCCATGCTCCAAGGCTGGTGAGGGAGTTCCACCGCAGGTATCCACAGCGTCCGTCCTCTAGCCCGAACCCCAGAGGGGTGTTATACACCCCCAGGGGTTATTAAGGTCCTTGGACCACAGCTGTGGAATTGGCTTACTTTCTGAGGTAACGGTATCAGCTCGCAGCTCTACCTCCGATGCCCAGGTTGTTGATAAGGCCTGGAGAGAGCTGCTTTACATCATACCCCGTTTAGCCCCCTCAACCTGCTCTTTCCACTTAAGGTTTTCCACCTGTAATTATGCCGACAGTATACACAGAGGGATTCCTAGGAGGCGGGGTAACTGGTTACCAAGCATACAGTGGAGCAGTCCTTTGGTTATGCTATAGATTAAGGTTGCAGTACAACAAGCATTTGCGTAGGAATGCAGCTATGTGTTAGGTTATTATGCCGACTACTCGGGTGAGTGGGCGGAGTCTCGAGGCGCGCCTGCGCATTGATACTGCCGGACGCCGTACGAGAGTGGGAGGAGTCCCACAGCGCGCCTGCGCAGTGGTGCGTACGGCTCGTTGTCCCGGCCGAGGGGTGTGAGGAGTATCAAAAGGGGTTCCCCTTAGGGGGGGGTCCTGTAAGAAGCCTACCTCGTTACGTCCCGGGATCACGATCCGGGACCGCGCATGCGCACAACGGGCTGTAGCGTCTCCTCGCGGCGCACGCGCACGTCGACCCTCGGCTCCTCCTAGCGCAGGCGCATGGGGCTCCTTAAGACGGGGCCAAACGAATCTTCAGCGTCCGACTGTTTGCAACAGTGAACGCAGAAGATTCACACTCTGCAACCGCATACCGCAGCGACCAGGGACCAGTACCTCGCAAACCCCACTTAGGGGGTAGCTCTAAGGAACGTCAGGAGGGATTTCTGCGATTGCCGCCCAGGACGGCTAGAGAGTGGACTGCTGTGCTCACCACCATCAGCCATAGGAGACATCCAGGAGTACTCTTCCCAATCGCAAGTACATGGGGACATTGTTGCCATTGACATTGTACTATCCATACTTAAGCCGGGACTGTTTAATTCGTATTGTGTGACCAAGGGAATAACTGTATAACTTGCTTGTAGTCAAAGTCCAGCTGACTGTCAGTATAAGGAAGTTACTTGTCTCTCTTAGTATACGTCCACTGGGGTTGCCTGTGCAGTACCAGGTCTCACCACAGTACAACCCAGCAGAAGTTAACCCTCTCTCCCCTATTCATTCAGTTAACATACACAACCTCTCAGTACGGTTTACATGATGTTAAAGGTCTCCTATATTTCTCAACGTTACTAAGTGAGTAATTTGAGACCATCAACTGACCAAACCGCAAGGTACCCTCTCCGCAGTTGTGATCCAAGGCTTGCGCTGAAGAGACGTTACAGAGACTATGTTCCATAACCTGGAATCCACACAAATGCAGGAGATGGCTGAAATTAAGGAGGGTTTCCACTCCATGCACCAGCGTTTGGATGTGGTTGAAAATACCTTGCCCCCTGTCACTGTGGGCCTGGGAGAGCTGCAGCATATTGTGCAGCAACAGCATGTGACTATTCAATCCTTATGGACTCAGGTGGAGGACCAGGAAGATAGGAATAGGCGAAATAATATTCGCATACGCGGTCTCCCTGAGGCTACTCGCGCATCAGATCTGAAAGCCACGGTTCTGGGGATCTTTAACACCCTCCTGCACAAACCGGTCTCTGACCACATTGAACTGGATAGAGTGCACAGAACGCCGGGCTTCCGCAGACCAAATGCGACACAGCCGCGTGACGTGCTGTGTAGAGTGCACTATTTCTCTGTCAAGGAGGATATCATGGATAAAGCCCGTGCGGCCGGCACGGTGGATTTTGACGGAG